GCCTGGCAGGAGTGGCGTTTTTAGCATCATCTGAGGAAGTTAACAATCCTGATATCCAGGCCCTGCCCCTAGACCCACTGGCACAAAATCTTCCAAACTGGGGGAGACTCCAGGGACTGTAAACAGTTCCGTGTCCACTAGAGTGTTTGGGGACATGTCTGGCTCTCACACAGGAGGGAGGCCTGAGCCTCCCCACCTTACCTGTCACCCTCTCCCTTCCCAACCCAGGGTCTGGAGATTGTGAACCCACAAGCAGCTGAGAAGAAGGTGGCAGAGGCCAACCAGAAGTATTTCTCCAGCATGGCTGAGTTCCTCAAGGTCAAGGGTGAGAAAAGTGGCACCATGTCCACCTGAAGAGGCCCACACCCCAGTTGGCCACCCACTGGAAGGACATGGAGGACTAGAACTTGAGAAATGATGGACATCTAGCCAGGAAGTTGTGGTGGCAGCCTGCCCTGCTCTGTCCTTGGCCTAAGCCCACAGCATCTAAGGAAAATGGTGAAGGGCCTTGGCCTCCCTACCCCATCACCCAGACTGCTGCTGCCCCAAATGGGCAGAGAAGGGCTTCCTCACACTCATCTTTTTTACTTACATGGGGAAAGGAAGTGCTTTTTTAGAAAGAGTACAATTAAATGCACAGTGTCAAGCTCTGACCAGAGGGTGTGATTATTTGTGAAAGACCCAGAGGAGTCAGAGCTGTGGGGTTTCCAGTCAAGGCAGCATTGACCCAGCTCTCCTCTGCTATTGTCCTGGAATCAAAAAGGAGAAAAGCCCTGTCCATTTCTGACATCACCACCCACCCCCTGAGAACCCTCAGCGTCATGGCCGAACAGTATGGCCACAACAAAGCTCCAGAGCCCAACAAAGGCCCATAGGATTATTGTTGTCCCTCAGGCTAGAAGCCTCCTTGGTCCAAGATCCACATCTGCACTGTGAGGCACCTAAGAAGCCTGGGAAGTGTTTGCAGAAGGCACCCAGCACTGAGCTTATTGGGGAGCCAGTTGTATTAATGTTTGCTGAGGGGGCCATGCCTGAGTCCTCAACAAGGGTGAGGCAGATGGGTACCCTACTGTGGGAGGCACCAATGCCAGGTAAGCAAAAGACGCACGCACTACCCAGGCTGACTTGAGAACCAATGCTCTGCCAAGGGAAAAAGTAGAACAGGGTGGACTATCTTTGGTGTGTTATGAATCTATGGTTCCGCAGAAGATAAGAAAGAGTCATTGCTGGGCTCCATTTTCTCAGCTTGAGCTTAACTCTGAGAGTCTGAGCATGGACCCAGCTGGTGAGGTCAGGATTCTCTTACTCATAATTTTGGCAGGTCTGTCTTGGGCTTCCTGGTCCATTCCTCCCTCTGTCTCCCCACTCTCTATCATGACCCCAGTCCCTGTGGGTCTGTGTGGAAAGCACTTTGTACATCACCCCCTTTAGAATCCCTGCTCTGTCCCTGCCTGACTTGCATCTGACATGGCCAGTGGTGAGTGGAATGGAATATGAAGGTGCAAGTCTCGGAATTCAAGATGCTGCAGAATGCCTTGAGGGCTCTCTAAGACATGGTTGCTAGTTCTAGAGTTTGATTCAGTTTTGCTAAGATAGAGCTCAAAAAACCGTGTATTTCACCCTGTAATCCTAGCTACCCAGCGGACCTGAGGCAGGCGGGTTCCAAGTTCAAAGCTACCTGGGCTACACAGTGAATTCAAGGGCAGGCTGGGCTGTAGGAAAAAGTCTGGGTCCAAAAGAGGGAAAAAACAAATTAAGCTAGAGAGAGGCCTGGAGAGAGAGCACTGTTAGTAAAGTGCTTTTCATAAAAGCACAAGAACCTTGGGAGGCAGAGGCAGGTGGATCTCTGTGAGTCCAAGGTCAGCCTGGTCTACAGAGCAAATTACAGGACAGCGAGAGCTACACAGAGAAACCCTGTCTTGAAAAAAAGTAACAAAAACAGCATAAGAACCCGAGTTCAATACTCAGCACCCATATAAAAGGCCAAGAATGGCAGCACGTGTTTGCCATCCCAATGCTGAGTAGGTGGAGACAAGTGGATCACTAGGGCATGCTACCAGCCATCAGTGAGTCCCAGGTCCTGATGAGTAGCCTATCTGAAAAAAATAAATAAATAAAAAGCTACTGAGGTTGATTTGGCCTCCATAAGCACATATGTGCAGCTACATACAATACATTCATATGTACACACACAATTTCAGGAAAGAGTTGGCTGGAGAGATTTCTCAATGGTTAAGAATATTGGCTGTTCTTCCAGAGGACCTGGGTTTAATTCCCAGCATCCATACGGCAGCCCACAATGATCTATAACTCCAGTCCCAGAAGGTAGGGCATCCTTTCCTAGTCTCCCTGGGCACCAGGCACACGTTTTGCACAGACATTCATGTAGGCTAAACAGCCATACATACACAAAAAAATGTCTCTAATGGGCAGGAATGCAGCGGTTCACCACAGGGTACTTGCCTAGCTGTGTCCAGGCCCTGCCTCTAAACAGTTGTAATAGGGCTGCTTTGCAGGACAGGCTCCAAAGCAACACAGAGAAACCCTGTCTCAGAAAAAAACAAGAACAAAAAAGGGCTGCCGCATGTGGTGGTACACACCTTTAATCCCAAGACTCGTAGGCAGAGAGCAGATTTATGTGAGTTGGAGGTCAGCCTAGTCTACATAGTGAGTTCCAAGGCCTACACAATAAGATCCTTAAAAAAGGGCAGAAGCTGGGACATGGTGGTACATACCTGTAATCCCAGCATTCGGGAAATGGCAGCAGGAAGACCAGGAGTTCAAGGTCGTCCTCTGCTACAAACCTAGTTCAAGTCCAGCCTGTCCTATATGAAACCCTGCCAAAAAAGAGGTGAGAGACGATTGGGGGAATAGCTCAATAGTAGGGTATTTTCCTGTCCTGTGAAGTCCTGGGTTCAAATCTCCCTGTGATGAAAAAGAAAAGTGCATTTCCATGTGTTATTTTTGGTGCTAGTTAAAGGACCATGCTTTGAGGAGAGTTTTTGGTGAGTGGTCTTTACATTAGCTGCACGTTGGAATTATCTCAGGGAAAGAATGGTAGCCAGCTCCTGCCTCCAGAGGTTGATGTAATTGTTCTAGCATGAGCCTGAGTATTTGGATCCCCTACCTCTCACCCCAGCTTCCCAGGTGATTCTAAAGTGCAGCTAAGCCTGAGAGTCACCACTCTGTGTTCTTGGGGCCATCAGCATGCCCTGGGAGCTTGTTAGAAGATGTAGAATTGGGAACCACTTAGATAAGCTGCATCTTAACAAACACACAAATTCCTGATAAGGCTAGAAGCAGGTCCCCATTCAGGGCCCACGTGGAATAGCAAAGCTGTGCATGAATAACAAACTCAAAAAAGTATGGGGGTGTTAGGAAAAATCTGGACAAATGCAGCTTCCCAGGTTTCACTTTAAGTCTATGTGACCCTAAAAATAAGCATTTTTTAAAAACAGTTTGTGAATGTGTTAGTATAAGGGAGTCAGATACCCTGGAAGTGGTGTTAACAGGCATGTGAGCCATCATGTGGATGCTGGGAACAGAATCCCAAGTCCTCTGCAGCAAGGTGTTATCTTGACTGCCGAGCCATCTCTCCAGCAGAATATGCCTTTTTATAAGCCATTTCTTCCTTTCTTGCTTCATGCCATTCTGTTGGGGTACAATGCACATCCACGTTCTCTTCAAGTTTGGATTTATCTTAATTTCCTTCACCTAGGCAGGCAGAGCTAGATCTGGCTTCCCAATTCATGAAAATGTGGTGCTCAAGTTTTCAACGCAAGTCATTGCTGGGACTATTCATCTACTAATTCAGCAAAAGGCTATGGAGTGCGTTATGAGTGCTAAACACTGAGAAATACAGAGAGGGAGACCCAAGTAAGTATTTTTAAAATAAAAGGGCAGGGTCTGAACGAAATTAAAGAGGCTCACCTAAGCATTCTGCAAGGGTGGTCGGGGAAGTTTACTCCCTAAGAAGCATAACAGAGCTCTAATGAGTAGCCATGACAGATGTAATCAAGTTAGGGCAAAGCGCAGCTTCTTATGCAGCTTCTACAGCTACAGAATCCTTGCAACACCAAAGAGATGGAGATAGAGGAGAGTGCCCCACAGTCTGCTTTCTCACTTAACTGGAGGCAGGACAGTCCCGTGCTCAGTCACTTCTGCTATGCATGGTGCCGGTGACTTGTCTCTGATTCCGCCTTTCCTTTTTCCATCCAGAAAGCACTGAGTTTTAGAGCTATGCCAAGCAGAGGCTCTTGGGGAACTCTTACCCGGACGGCAGGAATAGGGAGGGATGCTCAGAGAACCACACCTGTCGGCCGCTCACGCAGCACCCTCCGCTAACAACTACCCTATTGGCCAAACTGACGAGCCTGCCCCGGGAAATGGGAGGGGCCTTCTTGTCCAGCCCCTCCCCTTAGGCCTGGTGGCTCTTTTGATTGGCAGACAACTTGGGCCTAATGCCCCACCCCACACTCCACCCCCAGTCACCTGTCGTCTCCCACTAGGTAAGCTGCCTTTAACACCCACTCTCCATGCCTTCCGTCGTTTTCCCCTACCCACTTCCATGGCCAACCAATGAGTTCGGGGCGGAATATACCTTGCAACCAATTGCAGCTGCTTTCAAACTTGACGGACGACTTCCCGCCCCTCAGCCTGACTCCTCCCCGCAGCCAATTGATTTAGGAGAAGGGGGCGGACACATCCAATCAGCACGACACAGGCCTCCTGATTGACATCCAGGCCCTCGCGCTGGCGTGTTGTGCTCTGAGGCGGGGAGGAGGAGGAGGAGCCGGGAAGGAAAACCTGAGCCAATCCAAGCAAGCTGAGCGGGAGGCCAATCGAACGCCGCGCCCTGCAGGGATCAGCCAATCCTGGGGAGGGGGCCGGCCGTATCCTCCCCAGGAGCCAATGGGACGCGCCTGACGGCGCAGAGCGACGTGCTGCGGGAGCAATGACGGACCTATATTCGGGGCTCGGGGGCGGGCCGGCGCCAGAGACGAGAAGAGAGGAGGGGAGGCCTCCTCCGCCGCCGCCATCTTGGACCGGGCCCGTTCAGCTTCCGTGGAGCCGTCGGCAGCCGCCGCCGGGCCTTCCCTTGAGCCCCGAATCCCCTACTCGGTCGTCTAGAACAACCCCGGGCCCACTTCCTCTATCAACAACCCAACCCCACTTCCGGCTCTTGCGCCCTCTTATCGCGATAGCGCCCGGGCTTGGGGCGCGAGGAAAGAGGAAAAAAAAAAAAAAAAAAAAGGCGGCTGGCGGGCGCTCGCCTCCGTCTCCCCCTCCTCGCCTGTCGCGATACGCTCCGCAGCGGCGGCGCCAGCTCCTGCGGTGAGAGCGTCAGGCTCGACTGGGCCGGACCCCTTCCCCTCTCCCCTCAGCGTCGTCGGCTGCCTTCCCGCCCCGCGACCCCTCCGCCTGCCGCGACACGGCCTCCGCGCCCGCCGGGCCCTGGCCCTGCCCCGGCCGGCCGCGCGCTCGGGCCTGGCTTCGGCTCGGGCGGGCGGGGACCCTCCACTCTCAGCCCTCCCGCGCGTCCCGATTCCCGCGTGGCAGCGCTCCGGCCCCGGGTGCGAGGTGCCCGCCCTCCTCCGCGTCCTGCCTGCCGGGCTTGGAGCGATGGGCGCGCAGCGGGCCGGGGCCGGGGCTTTCTGCGGTGGGTGTTGGGGGGCACTCCTGCAGCCATGCCCTCCCCGGGAGCTCCCTTTGGGAGCGTGGCCTCTGCACCCGAGAGCTCCAGCTTGTTGGTGTCTTGATAGGGGGAAGCCTCTTTGGAAGAGATGGATCTGGTGGAGGAAAAGTCCCCAAGACCCGAGGGTGCAGCTCCCGTTGTGAGTTGGAGCCTAAGCCAAAGTTTCCACCTTGTCCTCACAGCTCTGGCAGTCAAGTCTCCTAGATGTCCCATTCCACCAGTCTTCTTTTAAGGAAGCATGGCTTTTTTTTTCTTTAAACACTCCCTCCCCAGACCTTGGATTCAGGACTGTCCACCCTATTGCTCACTTCCTGGCTTCAGGAGGTCTTTTACATCTTTGAGGTAGGGGTATCAGTGGCCTCTAGCTTTGGGGATGCAAGCTCCACCAAGGTGCAAGCTGTCTGCCTCCGTGGATGTGGCTTCCTAGTGATGTCAAGTCTGCCGGTATTGCTGTGTGTGGTGGGAGCTGTTGAGCTCTCCTGGGTCCGTGTCGGTGGATTGTGAGCTCCCGGGCTCTGTTAGTGGTATGCTGCTGCTGTTAGGGGCAGTTAGAGCACCTCTTCTAAACAGCTGCATCTCCGTTCTGTGACTGTCATCCTCGGATTCGATCTCGGCCCTTTTGGCAAGGGTTTCCTCACTGTCTTCACCTTCTCCCCTCCATCGTATGGGTTGTCATCTCCCTGCACCTCCTTTCTCATTGACCCACCTGTGTGTGTGTAATCTCCCGTAATTGAAATCCACCGGGTGAAAGCATTGTGCCGGGCTAGAGTGGTCCTTCTCACCCAGCTGGTACCCCGTAGGCAAGCATTCCTCGCCTAGGTCTCCTGCTGCGTGTGCAAGGGGTGGCCTTTCTCCCTGCATTTGTGTTGTATTTGTGGGGTGGTGTCACCTGCAAGGTAAAGTTCCTTCCTTCTTTGGTTTTATCATCACCCTCTCTCCTGCATGTGAGATGACTACACCCTGGTGTACTCACTGTGAGGCTAGGTACTCTTGGGTGTGAGTACCCCCAGCTAGTGTGATTGACTCCTCTGTGGTTTTTCTGTGGGTCTAAAGTGAAGGTTCCTTGTGTGGTGTCTGGGACTTGGGAGAGAGACCACTGTGGTCACTTTGCTTGGGACTAAAGATTCTTAGGGATGACTTTTCACGGTGTAGGTTCCTCATCCCCTACCTTTGGTGTTGGGCCTCTCCAGGGGCTACTTTATTCACCTAATAGAACCCCCATGTGGGGGTGCCAGGGTCCTCCACTGGGTTCAAGTTCCCCCTCCAGCGCTGCTTGCCACTGCTCCTAGCTTTAGTGTGAGCCCTCTAATCTGCAGGGTGCCCAGTGCTGTGCCCCAGGATGCCTGTGTGGCCACTCAGCAGCACCAACCTTCAGGATTAAGGCTGTGCCCTCCTCAGGTCTCAGTGTGACGATCTTGGAACCTGTGGTGAAAAGTTCTGAAGATTCCTGTTGTGAGTCCTGATTTGAGGATGTGCCCACATAACCTTGGACAGAGAGAGGAGCCTCCATCATGGGCCAAGAGGCCCAGCTTCCTCCATGCTGTCCAAACCCCATCCCATCTGTGTACATGTGTATGTTCTGTGTGAAGGTGCTTGCCTACCTCAAAAGGGCCCTGTGCTGATGGCCTCTTGAGAGGGTCTTGGAAAATGGGGTAGGCAGTCCTTGGTGGTGGCACCTCTGGTTTGAGGCTCCAGCACTGGCTTCCTTTCTGGCTTCTCAGGTGCGTGCACCCTCTTGGTGTGCAGCGGTTTTTGTTGTTGTTTGTTTTGTGGAGAGAAGGTGTTGCCTCCACTCTAGCTGAGGCTCCAGCCTCTAGAGCAGAAACTCCTGGGTGTGTGGGCCTTGTCCTGCTCTGTGGAGCAGCAGCCTTTTGCCACTCAGATGCTGTCTTCACTTACACAGCTGTGCCCGCCCATCTTGATGGCTGAAGTATTACACCTGTTCTTTTTTTTTTTTTTTTTTTTTTATCATTACTTTTTAAAATTACTTTTATTCTATCCCTCCATGTAAGTGTGCTGTGCTGTACCTGAGAAGGCTATTGGTTCCCCTTGGAACTGGGGTTACAGGTAATTGTGAGCGGCTATGTGGGTGCTGGGAACTGAACCTGGACTGTGAGAGAGCAACAAGTGACATTTCCATCTGAGACGTCTCCAGCTCTTAATTTTTTTCTTATTTTATATATTTTTAAAGTTGATTTTCTGTATGTGCATGCATGCCAAGACAAATGTGGGGTTCAGAAAAAAACCTTTGAGAAGTTGATTCTTTGCTTTCACTATTTGGGACTCAGGTTGAATCCAGATCACCAGTACCTTTATTATAGCGAGTACCTCTATCTACTCAGCCATCTCACAGGCCTTAATTATTTTTTATTGCTTTATTTGGTTGATTTTTTTTTTTTTTTTGGGAGACACTTTCTCTCTATGTAGTCTGGGATGGCTTGCAACTCACTATGTAGACCAGGCTGACCTTCAGATCTGTCTGCCTCTGTCTCCCAAGGGTTGGGATTAAAGGCCAGCCCTGGCCCAACATTTCGTTTGTTTGTTTGTTTGTTTGGTGTATATGTACTCTTTGGAATGTATACATGCCAGCACACATGTGAAAGATCGAGGACACCTTTTGAGAGTTGGGTCTCTTTCTGCGATGTGAATCCTGGAGATTGAACGTAGGTCGTCAGGCTTGGTTTATGCTGATCCTACTCACTGGCCCCTGTTTTTTTTTGACACCTTGTTTCTGGCTCCTTTAGGATTTCGGTCATTTTTTTTGGTGCCATAGTACTGTATTCTCACTGTAAGGCATATCACCTCCCCCCTGTCCCAACCACATCACTGTGGAATTAGGGTAGGGCCTCGCCTCCTTAAGGTTGGAGTGCCTTGTCTGGGTTGCAGTGCCTGTCCGTTTTAACCCTCCTGTAGGCTCTTGGGACAGAGTGGGTAGTGTAAGCTCTGTTTAACACTCCTCCCTTCCCTGGTGTAAAAGGGGGCTCTTCTGTGCTGATGGATGGTAGAGCCAAGACTCATTCCTGGTCAAGATCCTGAACACCTCTGCTGATCCCAGGCAAGATCCCTGGATCAGAGGTGCCTGTACTTCAGTCTCCTCAGTGGGGCTCTTTGCTGAGTCCTTTTGCTGGTTGTCTCGTCTTGCTGAAGATTCCTGGTGTGTGGTGTGTCAGCCAATCCTCAGAGGAGAGTGCTGCTCTTTTTTTTTTTTTTTTAAATAGGTCCTTTATTTAAGTTCCTAGAGCCTCAGGTGCTACCCATACCTACCTCCCCACAGAGTGAGACTCTGTAGAGTTAATTTTGAAAATTCCTTTCAGAAGAGGTGCCAACTCCATCGTCTCTGGGCCTCTTTTTCTAAATCCTGCTCCAAAATTCAGTGTCCATGCAGTGGTTGCTAGTCACCTGTGATTAGTGGAAATGGGAAAAACTGAGCCAGGAATGGCAGCGCACTCCTCTAACCCCAGCATTTGGGGGGTCAGGGCAGGAATGTGGGTTCAAAGCCAGCCTGAGCTGTATTCTAAGAGCCTGTTCTTGGAAAGGGTACGATCCTGTTTTTCTGTTGCACTGGTTGTAGTACATTAGGCTGACAGTGCGCTTTGAAACATTCCCCACATTGCATCTTCTGTTAAAAAACTCTCTGGGTATTCCTTTCCTTGTTAGTAAGGACCCTCATAGCTGCCTGCCAGGTTGAAACTCTTGGTCCTGGGAGTAGGGCTGTTTCTGCTAAGAGCTACTTTGGGGCACCCCTGTCCTGTATAGTTTTCAGAGCCTTGCTTTTTAGTATACCCCTAGGGAGACTGCTTCTGCTGGCGGCTCAGAAATCCTCTTCCCATGTCCCTCCCTCTCCAGGTTGCCCTGTTTCAGAGTCAAGTTTTGTTGTGTGGACTTCTTTGGCTATAACCCTCCCCTCCTCAGTCCTTCGTCCTCGGGCCCCTCTGAGTTAAGTTCACCTTTCTTCAGAATAAAAGTAGGTGCCCCTCTGTTCGTTTTGGTTTCTGCCCTGATGGGTTCATGTTTCTGAGTCTAAATTGCCAGTCTATCTGATAGGGAATTCCTCTCTCACAGCTAAGGTACCTTTTACTCTCTTATCTTGGCAAGATTTCTATCTTCTCCCAGCCCTCTTGAGGTGCTGCTTCCTGCTCCCAAGTTTCTATAACCGTTTTTAGTTTCAAGCTCTTCTGGTCAGGAGCATTATCTGTGTGGGCTCCAGGATTCTACTGTGAAGTAAATTTCTTGTTTGACATCCTGCCCTGTCCTGTATGAGCGGGTCCAGGTCTTCATAGCTACAGAAGTCCCCTATCACTCTTGCCCTTCAGTTCACACCTGTATACACAGCATCTCATCTTTCCAGGAGCCGCCAGCCTCATGTATTTCCTGACTTGTCTGGAGTGGCCTCTCCCAGTCACCTCTGCTCCCAACCCCTGTTTAGAATCCTCATTTCTAGGGCTCATGCCTGCACCCCAGCACTCCACTCTGTGCTGCATGTGCTGTAGTGTCATCTAGAGAACAGATACTCTGTACTCTGGAAATTTTTTGCTTCCAAAGTAAGAGGCCCACAAATAAGATACAGCAGTCTTTGTTTCAACAGTTTCCCAGAATCCAGTCTGCCCGTCTCTGTGCTGGGCAACTGAAGGAATTTAAAAGCAGGTCAGATCTCCCTTATCAGATAGGAAATGCAGCTGGGGATGTAGCTAGATGAAAGAATGCTTGCATGTGCAAGGCCCTGAGTTGTATCATCAGGTAGGGAAGAGGGCAAGTAACTGTTTCTTCCCTCTACCATCCTGCCTACCCCGTGACTCCCACCACGTCTCTGCGTTTGGACTAGCCAAGGAATAGATGTTAAGTCCTACCCAATTTTCCCCAGCAGCGTCCATTTCCAAGAGAGTATGAAGAGAGTTCGTCTGTAGGGCAGGGAAGATGGCGGACAAGCGCAAACTCCAAGGTAATAGACTGTAAATGTGGCCACATGCCCTCTCTTCTGGGAGCTTGTCTTTGGATATTTGCTGCCTTGGCAGGATCCTAATAGTCTTCCTCCCTGGCCAGGTGAGATTGATCGCTGCCTCAAGAAGGTGTCCGAAGGTGTGGAGCAGTTTGAAGATATTTGGCAAAAGGTACACGGCCTAGGAACCTCAAAATCTGGGTCTGTGGGGAGGAGAACCAAGAAGTTCAGAGTCTCAGGGTGTTGACCAGGGAATCGTCTCTAAGATCGACTGTGGGGAGGGGGTCCTAGATGTCCCAGCCCCAGCCGAGGAAGAAAGAGACTGGACCTTTTCTGCTATGGCGAGTTCTGGGCAGCCACCCTCACATTGACTGCTGAATTCTTCATCCCTCAGCTCCACAATGCAGCCAACGCGAACCAGAAAGAAAAGTATGAGGCTGACCTAAAGAAGGAGATTAAGAAGCTACAAGTGAGGGGGCTGGGGCTGGACTCTTGTGTCCTGTGGGAGGAGGGTTGGGGAGAGTGGACTGCTGGGTCCCAGGGAGAAGAGGTCACTAAGGGCCCCAGTTCCTAGGCTGCAGCCTGATTTTCTTGCTGGATCTCCCTTCAGCGGCTGAGGGACCAGATCAAGACATGGGTGGCATCCAACGAGATCAAGGACAAAAGGCAGCTTATCGAAAACCGCAAGCTCATTGAAACGGTAGGACACCAGAGCCTGGGGCTCTGTGGGGTGGTGAAATAATCAGGTTCCTGGGACCCCAGAAGGCAGAAGTGGAGCAGCAGCTCCAAACTCCTGAGAAGAGTAATGTCTCCACAGCCAAGGGAAGGGCAGAGAGGTCTCCAGGCTGTCTGTAGCATTGCTAGGCCTTACAGCTCCGGTCCCACCTTTGTGAGCTCTCCACCAACCTTACTCTCCACAGCAAATGGAACGGTTCAAAGTCGTGGAACGAGAGACCAAAACCAAAGCTTATAGCAAGGAGGGCCTGGGTCTGGCTCAGAAGGTGGACCCTGCCCAGAAGGAGAAGGAAGAGGTTGGCCAGTGGCTCACGGTGAGTTGGGACAGAGAAAGAAGTGAGCACATGGGCCCAGACTTAAGTGTATATCAGGGACTCGAGGACAAACCCTCTTCCCTTCTCTTCCCCCAGAACACCATTGACACCCTAAATATGCAGGTGGACCAGTTTGAGAGTGAGGTGGAGTCACTGTCGGTACAGACACGCAAGAAGAAGGGCGACAAGGATGTGAGTGGGGGGAGAACCATCACCCATGGGGTAGGGGTGGGTGTGGCTTGTGCACAGGAAGCCTCTGGAGGCTTGTGGGAGGGAGTCTAGTTCTGGGTGTCTAAAGTACACCTGGTGTAGAGATGGAGAAGCAGGACGAGGCAGCCTAGCTGGCTGAGTGGGGTAGGGAGGAGGTAAGATAGGATCCTGGGATATTGGCTAGGGTTAGTTTGGGTGAAGAGAGACTTAGGTTCAGCTGGGACTCCAAGTAAGTGAGACATGAAGGGACAGCCAGATTGGGAAGGTACACAGCACTCCAAAGATACCAGGTTCTCAGAAGCGGGTGATGTGTGTCCCTGAGAAACCAATGGCTATGGGATGCTCGGGAAAGGATGGTTTGAACCAAAGCCGTGTGTTAGGGTCCTGGATCCTACACCTTTAGGGTTGTAGGGTGTGAATTCAAGGGGATGTCTGCTTAATGGTGTCACCAGAGAAGGAAGCTGGGGTAGGATGGAAAGTGAGAGGTGGTATATCATGATTGGTGAGAGATTTGAAAACCAGGGGTTGAGAGGGGAGAGGGTGAACTGGCACTAAGGTGTCAGGTGGTAAAGGGAACTGGAACTTTGGAGAGGAGCAGGAGCTCCCTGTGCAAGTTTCCTTCTCACAGCTCTGTCCTTAGTACTGTCATTACTGTCGCCACGAGAGGGGATGTGTATTCCAGGCAGAGGGCAGAACGGAGGGAGGCTGGGTGAGCACAGGCGTCACAGGTCTCTAGGGACCTCCAGAGCCCAAAGGGTTTGAGGAGGGAGAAGTGGGTCCCGAGATATCAGAAACCTCAGACTGGTCCTCACTGGGACAGGGGGTGGGCACACTCCTCACTGCCCCGTGCTGGGAGGGGCTGTAGTGGAGTTTTTGGGGTGCCCTGGGGACGGGGGACTGAGGACAGGTTCTGTGGGGGCAGGAGGGCTGGGCAGGTGCTCTGCAGCCCCTGAGCCTGGCCCTGGGCTCGCCAGCAGAAGCAGGACCGGATTGAGGGCTTGAAGCGGCACATCGAGAAGCACCGCTACCATGTGCGCATGCTGGAGACCATCCTGCGCATGCTGGACAATGACTCCATCCTGGTCGACGCCATCCGAAAGATCAAGGATGACGTGGAGTACTACGTTGACTCGTCCCAGGACCCCGACTTTGAAGAGAACGAATTCCTCTATGACGACCTGGACCTCGAGGACATTCGTGAGGCCCTGGGCTGACCTTCATGGCACAGAGGGTGAGGGCAGGAGGTGTGGCTGAGCCAGCTAAGCATGCTGCTCCCCTGCCCCCACAGCACAGGCGCTGGTCGCCACCTCCCCCCCCAGCCACAGCCACATGGAGGATGAGATCTTCAACCAGTCCAGCAGCACGCCCACCTCAACAACTTCCAGCTCTCCCATCCCACCCAGCCCAGCTAACTGCACTACGGTGAGGGTCTGGGTTCCCAAGAGGGTGGGCATAGAGAAATCAAAAGCCCGGTCTTGCCCTAGAGAGAGAGCAGCTGAGGAATTGCAATCTAGGCTTTTTGTGCTCCAAGGTCTTTCCTGGTATGGAATGGATATAAAGCCAAAAGATTGACCCTGGGTTCCCACTCAGGTTTAGCATTCATGTGGGTTTTAGGTGGTGGTGGTGGCGTGCTACAGTGTGGGGTGCTGGAGGACCTGAGCAGCTGGGTATGTCCTCTCTGACAGGGATCCAGGGCTAAAGTCTGTAAGAGGTTCCTGAGTACTTCCCAGGGTGGGAGTGAGTGCTGGCTCTCAGAAGACAGTACTGAGGAGCTCAGATTTAGCTGTTTCCCAGTTTCAGGTGGATGTTGGAACAGCTCTGGGTCACAGGATGAGTCAGATGGGCCTGTGAGAAATTAAGAGCAGTAAGGGCCCTCCTGGGTCCTTTAAAGGATTGCCTTTTGTGTCGGGACCCTGGAAGTCACACAGTTCTGACTCTTACTTCCCATACCTCAGGAAAACTCTGAAGATGATAAGAAGAGAGGCCGCTCGACAGATAGTGAAGTCAGCCAGGTGGGTCCAGGTCTGAGTCTGATGGCTTGTCACTTGTTTATTCAGTGGTCCTTACAATCATTGAAGCTGCTGGGCTCTTGGAACGGTAGCATGCCAGAAACGGTGCCACCCTGAGGGCAGGCTGATGACTGGTGCTGTGGTTGAGGTGGCCTATGACTTGGCCTGCAGAAGAAGACCGAATGGTACTGTGGCAGCAGCAGATCACACAGAGGGGCTGTAGCAGAAAGCTTGGAAGTATGATGGGTGGGCCTGTTGGACTGAGGACCTGGTCTTTGTAGACCATCTCGGAAGGAACCAGACATGCCTGGGAAGTGATCGGAAGTCAGAATGCCTGTGTTGTGCTGACTGCAGGAAGCAGTCTCTGAGAGAGGAAGGAGTATGCGGCACTCCTCCAATTCCTCTGGCTCCTAGTGAATGAACTCTCTTAGCTCCGTCAACTTCTAAGACAGAACATACCTTAGGAAACAGGAATGTTGTGGCAGAAGGATCCCGAAGCCCCTCTGTGATGATAGAAGGAATAGTCCTAGGTGGGGGACCTCATTGGGCACAAGCGTTGAGAAACAGCAAGGGTAATGGAGAGAGAGACGGGGACAGGGACGCCTGGGAGTGGGCCCAGCTCTGCCACCTCACCAGGCACCCTGACTGTCAAGCATGGTCCCAGGGGAAAAGAAAATGGCCAGTTCCCTTGGTACTTGGTAAGTGAGGTTCTTGTGGTGGTCAGAAATCCAGGAGGCAGTTCGGCATGGCAGCCTGGTTTCTGGAACTTGTCTGAGGTAGGGGTTCCCAGTCATTACACTGTGCACCACTGTATTTTACAGTCCTGTGACTGGCTGTAACAAACAGGCCTTTAGCTGACATTCAGAAGTATCCTGGCTGTCCCAGTTCCCTTACTTTTAAACATTTACACTGATCTAATTGAGGTGTTTGGGGGGGGGTTAATTTTTTGTTTAAAATTAAAGCATCTCACTGTGTAACCTTCACTGGCTTGAACTCGCCTAATAGACCAGGCTAATCTCAAACTCGGAGAGATCGGCTTCTCTCTGCCTCTCAAGTGCTAGGATCAAAGGCGGCGTGCACCTCCACTCCAGGTCTCAAATGGAGGGTATTTAAGAGTTTGCACTGGTCTCTGGTCTTAACGACCTAACCCCTGTCAGATTCGTGTGACGACAGGGGGCAGTGTCCACCAGGACTTGGACAGCTGAAGGGGCTGAAAAGAATAAATGGGTCTTAAACATGAGGACAGTTGAGTTCTGCTGGGTGCCCCGGAGGGTATGGACTGTTGTTGATAGCAGGTCAGAGACAGTGAGAGGGTGGTGGGTAGTGGACAGGCTGGCCTAGTACCTGACCAAGCTCTGTTCTTTTTTCCTGCAGTCTCCAGCCAAAAACGGCTCCAAGCCTGTCCACAGCAACCAGCACCCCCAGTCCCCAGCTGTGCCGCCCACCTACTCCTCTGGCCCCCCACCTGCCACTTCTGCCTTGAGCTCCGCCCCTGGCAACAATGGGGCCTCTACCCTAGCAGCACCTCCAAGTGCCCTGGGCCCCAAGGCCAGTCCGGCTCCCAGCCACAACTCGGGTACTCCTGCCCCCTATGCCCAGGCTGTGGCCCCACCCAATGCCAGCGGGCCCAGCGCTGCCCAGCCCCGGCCTCCCAGTGCCCAGCCGAGCGGCGGGGGAAGCGGTGGTGGCAGCGGAGGGAGCAGCAGCAGCAGCAGCAGTGGCACAGGCGCGGGGGCTGGCAAGCAGAACGGTGCCACCAGTAAGTGCGGCCAGCTGGGGGGACGGCGAGGGGGGCAGGGCTGGCAGCCTGGTGACACTTGCCCCTCTGCTCCCCAGGCTACAGTTCGGTTGTTGCAGACAGCCCTGCGGAGGTGGCTCTGAGCAGCAGTGGGGGCAGCAGTGCCAGCAGCCAAGCCCTGGGCCCCACTTCAGGCCCTCATAACCCAGCTCCCAGCACCTCGTGAGTAGTTCTGGAGTGGCAGGGTGGGCACAGGCTCTCCCGGCACCCTTGCTGCGGAGCTCCCAGTCCTGTCTCTGCTTCTTAGACCTGGGCCGGCTGTACATCAGTTCCCAGCTTTGTCCTCTTTTACTGATTTTTCCACTCTGGGTTCCAGACTGCTATCTCCCCGTTTCTGTTCTTTGCTCTGAGGTGGCCTGACTTCCATGGATGTGGGAGCTTTTCCCTTTCCAAGTGAAATGTCCTAGTCCCCCGTTTCTCCAACATGACGTCAGATTGCTCCCGCTGTTTCCAAACACATGCTGAATGAAAGATTGGCCACCTTGCCCCCGACATTACCAGCCCTAGTGAGATTGCACCATCTGCATCTGAGCAAGGTTACTTGTTCTGTGATAGGAACTTTATTCACTCTGCATCTGCCCCAGTGACTGCTCTAGAACTACCCTGTCCCCCATCTTTTAAGCTGTTAGGGGATCCTAAAAACCTGTATACCTAACTCAATACCTCCTGCTGTACTGAAGAGGGTCTCAGAGATTGCTCTCTTCTGCCCACCCCGGCTGTCTTGCCTTCAGCTGCCCGCTTTGGAGACCATTTTCTGTGTCCATCCTCCTTTAGGGACCTTAATCTGAGTCTCCTTCATTCTTTTTTTTTTTTTTAAAACATTTTTATTAAGAGATTTTTTTCTTTTGGAGTTGAGGATCAAACCTAGGGCCTTGCGCTTGCTAGGCAAGCCTCTACCACGGAGCTAAAGCCCCAACCCTCTCCTCCATTCCTTACCCAGGAAGGAACCCAGTACGGCAGCCCCAGCGGGGGCTGGGAGTGTGGCTTCAGGCTCAGGGAACAACTCAGGGGGACCCAGCCTCTTGGTGCCACTGCCTGTGAATCCTCCCAGTTCTCCGACACCCAGCTTCAGTGAGGCCAAGGCAGCTGGCCCCCTGCTCAATGGTCCCCCGCAGTTCAGCACCACCCCGGAGATAAAGGTGAGCTCCTCAGATGTGGACCCTGAGCCCAACCTGGGACAGGAGATCCAGTGTGTCTCCTTTTCTAGGGAAGAAAAAGCATCGTAGATGTTCTCCTGAGTGGGTGATAGGGCTTTAGCATGGTTTTTAGGGGAGAAGAAACAAAATGACACCCTGTGGAGAGGCTCCTGTGGGTGGGGTGGGGGAAGAAGAGGATGAAGGAAGGACTAGGCCTTACTGGCTGTGACTAGTACAGAGTGAGTCCCTCCAAGAGATCTGGATGCAGGTCTGTGGGTGGGCTTTGGTAATGGAAGGGTTGTGCAGAGTGGGTAGAAGAGCCAGCCCTAAGCTCTTCACCAGGGAAAGCAGTGTGGGGGCTGCGGACCCAACCCACTGATGTTCCCAAGGAGACTGAATGCCCAAGGGATGGCCGACTTCCTTAAGCAGCAGCAGAGCCTGCAATCCTGCCAGCCACCTCCCTAAGATGCCATATTACTGTGGGCAGTCCAGTGGGCATTCCCCCAGCATGTGGTGTCTTTATGGAAGTGTGTGCTATGGCCTGTCCACCGTGTTTTGTAGGGTATTCTTTCCTCTGGAATGTGTCATGGACCCTGAACAGAATTACACACTGGAGAGTCAGTGGACCATGTTCTGATGGTGACTTCAGATTTGCAGCTTCCTTACAGCCATGGTGTTTTAGCACAGTATGGGCAAATCTTGCAAATAGGGAACTAGCAACAGAAGAGTAGGCAGGGTGTACAGGTCCCGTCAGGCTTTGCATCTCTATGTAGCCCATTCTCTGCTCCAGGTCCTGAGGCTTGTCCCCTTTTTCCTTCCAGGCCCCTGAACCTCTGAGCTCTCTGAAATCCATGGCAGAACGGGCAGCTATCAGCTCTGGTATTGAGGACCCTGTGCCAACGTTACACCTAACAGAGCGAGGTGGTAGTCATGGAATGGTGGGGAGGGCAAAAGCCAAGGAGGAGGAACTGATCCCATCCTCATCATTGAGGGGCCTGGTGCCCCATCCCTCCCTACAGACATCATCCTGAGCAGCACATCAGCACCCCCCACCTCAGCCCAGCCAGCCCTGCAGCTGTCAGAGGTGAACATACCATTGTCACTGGGCGTGTGTCCCCTGGGGCCGGTGTCCCTCACCAAGGAGCAGCTTTACCAGCAAGCCATGGAAGAGGCCGCCTGGCACCACATGCCCCACCCCTCTGACTCTGAGCGCATTCGGTGAGGGCTGCAGGAAGGGGCTGGGGACCGGGTCCTGAGAGACTAGGTAGAGTACACAGTGTTGAGGACTTGGCTTGGGCTCCCTATAGCAGGTTGAAGTTTATTCTAAACACCTCCCTGAGGACAGGGCAGGAACTGGAAGTCACCTGGCGCTAAATCCTCTCTGGTCCACAGGCAGTACCTCCCCCGGAACCCTTGCCCGACACCCCCCTACCACCACCAGATGCCACCCCCACACTCGGACACAGTGGAGTTCTACCAGCGCCTGTCAACTGAGACACTCTTCTTCATCTTCTACTATCTGGAGGTACAGCAGGGCCCCTGGGGCAGCCTCGGGCCCCCCAGCTCCGCCGCCACCGCTGCCATCCCCCCTCGGGCTGGAGGGGCGAGGTGGGTGTCCCACTGCGGCCACTGGGACCGCACCCCTCCCCATCCCAGGCCCCCTCAAATCAAACCTGTCCAGTCCCAAGGCATTCCACTTGCTCAGACTCAGGGAGAGGCTGCAGGGCCTAGGCCGTATCCACTCCACTGCCAAGAGCTCTCTGCTCCCTTTAGTTTAGGATAGCCTCTGAAGGCCTCCCTAGAGACCGCTGATTGCAGTGAGTCAGCCCCTCCCCAGCTCCCTTGAGTTTTCTGCATAGTCTCCTCTCAGCTTTCATTATGCATTAGTTTCTTCTTTCTCGGAGCTTTTCTGAAAGCAATTCTCACCTCACCTCCTGTTTCATTTTCTTCTGACCATGGTATGTTTTGTGCTCCCAGCACTGTCTCCAAGTGGACTCTCCCCAGCTGGTCTGTTGTGGGGGCCCTGGTCCAGCCCTGATGCCCTGCCCTGTTCCCCTGCTCCCTACCCAATTTGGATGCCCCCTGATCTTCCTCTGCATTTTCTCTCCCAGGGAACCAAGGCACAGTATTTGGCAGCCAAGGCCCTAAAGAAGCAGTCCTGGCGATTCCACACCAAGTACATGATGTGGTTCCAGAGGCACGAGGAGCCCAAGACCATCACAGATGAGTTTGAGCAGGTGAGGGCCCCGCCCACCCTGGTCCCACTGGGGTATGGCTAGTGTCCCCAAGCCCAGTCCTGCTGGCCTTTGACCTTCAAGCACAGTCCCGTAGACTGACCAAACTGGCCTCCCACACTGTTCACCTGGCCTGGGATGCTATCCCTCTCCATTTATCCATATCTTGGTGCTTTAGGTCTGAGCCATTGTTACTTCTTCCAAAGAGAAACTTTCCTAGAGCTGCTAACTGCCTCCACCATGCAGCCCTGGGTACTTTAGTTGGGAGTGTGGTGTTTTCTAGTTGACATCTCCCAAACCTGACCTCGGTGACCCCTTCTTCATTTCCTGGCAACCAGCAGAGCAGGAGGGACTTGAGCGTACTTGGAAGGAAGTCTGTTTAGGCAGCCAATTGGAAACTCCACTCTCCCTAAATTCCCCAAAGCTGGCTGGTAGGGGTTTAAGCCTAGCTCTTGCTGGCTGACATTGGGCAGGTCGATAGAACCTCTCTTGGTTTGATTCTCTGTCTGTACAAATGGGAGTTCACAGTGCCCATCTCATGCAGTTGTTACAAGGATTAAATGAGTTAATAACATGTAAGTACTAATGGTGCCTGCTATACAGTGAGCGTCACGGATTTCTGTTCTTCCTGTAGTTGCTGTCAGGTGGTGTGTTCCACGGTGGCTTTCCCTGTGCACAATTTCCCTACCTACACTTCCAGGTGCCAAGCTGGCCCTCATGGTCCCATTCTCACAGAACTCTGTCCATCCATCCCCTCCACTCTTCCAGACCACTGTGAAGCATTTCAGACGCTTGACCCAGCTTCTTTCTTCCTGTATCCTACCAACTTTGACTTCAGGCTTCCTGTCTCACCTTGGTTTGGTCCTCGACATTAATGCGTCTCAGGGCACTGAAGTCACTCAGAATCTCAGTTACAATGAAGTGTGTGTCCCTGCAGAGCACTTGGATATAGATGCGGCATCTGTTGGATGTAGGTCACCTGTCGGTCAGCATTCCCCGCTGTCTGAACATAAGCCGAGGCCTCGTGACTGTTCACATTTAGCCAAGGTCCTCCATAGTAGAGAAAGCCTCCAGGTCCACCTGGGGCCTGGCTCTCTGCGTCTCCCTCCTCCACTCTAAAGGCATCAAGGTTGGAGTGTGACAGGGTGTCAGCATGTAGGACAGATCAGCCTGGCACCTCCATGTCCCTGACAACTGCTTCTGTGTCCGTCTGCCTGGCCCAGATCAGCCTCCCTCCTCGTCCACTCACTGACCACCTTCTTCCCCGGCCAGGGCACCTACATCTACTTTGACTACGAGAAGTGGGGCCAGCGGAAGAAGGAAGGCTTCACCTTTGAGTACCGCTACCTGGAGGACCGGGACCTCCAGTGACACCGGCCCCCTCTACCTGACCCCTCCCCCGCATGCTGATCCCCCTGCCCAGGTGAGGGCCCTGCCCTGGAAGACTGGGGGAGGCCCAAGGCCATGAGGCACCCTCCCCCCCAGGAAGCAGGGAAAGGGCAGGGAGGCTTTCTCCTCCTCTCTGCCCTACCCTGGGGGCCTGGGGGCGAGGGCTGCCCCTTCCTCCCCTCCCCAGTGAGGGACATTTTTTGGTAAACCTATTTTCATTTTGGAAAATATTTATGAATAAATAGTTTTATATGACGGCTGGCAGCTGCAGCCTCTCCTATCCCCCCAGGAGTCAGTGGGCAGGAGTGGGGTTCTGCTGGCGGGGGCGCCGGGCCAGCTGGGGGTTGAACTGGGAGTTGTACCGCCGCCTCCTTTCATCCATCTCTTCCACTTCTTCCTGGCCTTGCTGGGATGCTCGGCCTTGTACCCGGGCCAGCAGGGCCTCTGCTCGAGCCCTCTCAGCTGCTTCCCGCTGAAGACGCTCAGTGCGGAGCTGTTGTAGGGAAGGTGGCCTGCACGGGGGAGAGCAAAAGAGCAGAACGCTTGAGAGAAGCCACCTGGTTCTGGGCCATATGAGCAAGTCCTCCTCATGGTTCTAGGATCAGATGCCCCTCCAGATCAAGAAAACACATTGAGCAGTATCCTGGGCCCCCTGTACCATTTTCAAATAAAAAGAGGTTACCCTTGAGTACCCCTTCTGCAGTTGATAGAATCTAGCATCTTACAGACAGAAACCTGCTTTTATTCTCTAATCCCAGTGATTTTAAAGATCTGTTTCTCTGTGTAGCCCTGGCTTGTAGACCAGGCTGGCCTCGAACTCAGAGGTCTACCTGTCTGCTTCCCAAGTGCTGGGATTAAAGGCACCAGGTGGTAAGTTGTATCTATATATCTGTACTGAATTAGAAATGAAAACTGAGCACACAACCTTTGATCCTAGCATTTGGGAGGCAGAGGCCAACTACATAGTGAGACCCTGTCTCAAAGAAAACTGAAGGCTGGAGAGAGTTCAGTGCGTAAGCGCTCTGACTCCTCAGAAGACCAGGGTTTGGTCCCCAGCACTGTATAGTGACACAGTTTCAGGGGATCCAATGCCTTCCAGTCTCTAAGGGCACCAGCACATATGTGGTGCACACACAGACAAACATGGCAAGATATCCTTGCACATTAAAACTGAGAAGTCCTGCACATAAACATAGCCTTAGCCATATGGTGTAGCTAGAGGAGATACTGTTCTTAAAATCCTAAAATAAGTCTGTCTCCACAGAAGTCTCTAGACCATATACTAAGAACCATTTCACCCCAACTCTGCTGCTGCTGAGCCCTTTTGTGATACCCGGGCTCTTACTCTCGGGGCCGTTGTTTCTGAGGCCGCTCCTCTCTAGAAGGCCGGCTTTCACTGCTGTGCCTTTTCTTTCCCAGGTGTTTCTGCATCTCCCTCAAGGGGTCCAACCGGTTCTTGATCTTCTCGTCTGGGCTTGGGCCTGGAGGGCAGCCCCCTTCCCTTGGGGGGAGCTGGTACCAAGGAGGTTGAGTTTGGGCCTCTGCTGCACTCTGGCCCAAGTACGTTAGGATGCCTAGTGCTTTCTCTTGCCTCTCCTGTTGGAGCAAGAAAACAGAATAGTCTTTTCAGTCCTTCTGGAAGCCCTAGATATAGGAGTCCCCGGAGAGGAAGGGTAGTCATTCAGCAAGGGAAATCACAGACCACGGAGCAGCTATGCAAAGTGCCAAGGGCTAATCTGCAGTAATGGGGGAATGGGAAGAAGGATGGGAAAAGCTCCATGAGTTCAAAATTGGGCACCTTTGGGAGAAGTCTAAGGAAAAACCTGCAGAAAAGCAAAGCAGAGGAGTGATTTCAGTGGGATCCCGCACCTTCAGAGTTGGATGGGAGGCACTGTACAGTTCACAGCTTGAGAAGCACAAGTGCCATCTGGAGGTGCATGCCTATGACCCCAGCACTCAGGAGGCCAAAGCAGGGGGGTTGTGAGCTGGAGGGCACCCTGGTCTGTGTAGTTGAGGTCTCACCTCAAAATAAAAGTCTCATAAAATAAGGTTAACATCAGACACAGCTTAAGTGTTCTACAACAGTAACCAAATTGTTAGGTGCTACCTTTCAGTCACATTCAAAATTTTCTGTGTGCTCATCTGTCACCATATCCTAATAGTGGTTAGTCACAGCTAATTGTGTGTGTCATCCCCCCCCCCCACACACACACACACATCCCCAATTCCACCAACAGGAGGCCAGCTTACCTTCTCCTGTCGCTTCTCTTCCTCATGTTCTTTATTGCCTCTGGGCACTCCTTTCCCTTCTTCTAGCAACTCCTTAAACAGGTCCACAGGCCCAGAACTTGGATCTCCTGCATCTGCTGCTTCCAGCTCAGGCAGTGAGTGCCTGGCTTTCTTCCGTAGGAATTCTGTGCGAGCCTGTGAAGAAGTTATAGGCAGGACTTTCAGAACCTAGAAGCGCTGGGGGTTACAAGAAAGGGCCGTGGGCTGGCTAGTGGTGGTGTGTGCCTCAAATCCCAGCATTCAGGAGGCAGAGGAAGGAGGATCTCTGGAGTAAGAGGCCAGTCTGGTCTGTGGAGAGTTCCAGGTCAGTCAGGGCTACACAGAGAAACCCTATCTCGAAGAAAACCTTAAAAGGGGGGCGAGGGCATGGAAGTCTGGGAGCCAGAAAAGAATGACACCATTTGTAATTTAGAATGCAGCGTGGATGTTTTTATTTAAACAGTAAACTGGACTGTCAGGAATAGCTGGGAGATCTCCAGCCTAAAACAAGGCTTCCCAGCCTGTAGTAATGTAAGAAAAACAGCTATCAAAAACCACTCCGCTCTGGGGTGGAGGTGGCTCGTTCAGCCATAGAGCCTCTGCTTAGTGTACACTCAGCACACGCATGCGCAACCCCCAAATGTAGCTTATTAGGCAGCCAAACACTGATTTCTGGACAAAGGAGCTGAATCCCAGGTGTCGCTCCAGGTCACTATTCTCCATGTTCTCAATTAGGATTGTCTCCAGTTCACAATTCTCCCCTCTGCAGCCTCAGGATCTGGGATTACAAACTTGACCAAATTGGGCTACTTAGGTGTCGTAGTCCGCCCCCCCTCCACCCTCCCCAAACAGGGTTTCTCTGTGTAGCTTTGGAGCCTGTCCTGGAGCTCACTCTGTAGACCAGGCTGGCCTCGAACTCACAGAGATCCGCCTGCCTCTGCCTCCTGAGTGCTGGGATTAAAGGCGTGAGCCAACACCGCCCGGCTAGTCTGTTTTCT